AAAAGGAGTTTTCAGTCTTTAGCCTGATCCAGCAGCTGGGCCTGGCAGTCACTGTTAAAGCCACCTTGTCCAGGGCATTGCTGCCAGGGGCCATTCCTGTAAAATCAGGGGGAAAGGGCTGACCCTTGGAGCTCCTGGAGTTAGCCAGGAGCTTTGCCAAAGGACTGGGAAAAAAAACCTCACATCCCTGGCAGAGATAAAAACGGGAAAAATGCAACCCGTGGTGATGAAAAGGGAATGGAATGATTGGAACCATTTGAAATGGACAAGAGGAAATGGTCTCACATGATCCCAGGGGAGGTTTAGGCTGGATATTGGGAAGTCTCATAGTGGAAAGGCTGTCCAGCCCTGGCACAGCTGCTCAGGGTAGTGGTGGAGGCCCCATCCCTGGGGGCATTTAAAGCTGTGTGGATGTGGCACTTGGGGACATGGGACAGTGGTGGCTTCAACAGCACTGGGGAGCACCTAGGCACCGTGATCTCAGAGGGCTTCTCCAACCTGAAGGATTCCATGATTCCAAGGACACCCTATACACAACCAGCACAGACACTCCTGTGCCTGCTGCAAGCATCATTTCACTTCCTCTCCTTCACTTGGCCACCAAATATTCACTGGCAGCAGAGAACAACAGGGAGCAGTACTTACTGTGGGAGAAGCCAGCAGGATTAGATCAAATTCCCTTCAGAAAGAGCTGACAGGATCCAGCCGGCCCTGTTCCCAGCTGCTTGGGAAGCTCCCAGTCCCTTCAAGTAGCAAAAGAGAGGGGAAATCCCCTTGTGCCAAGGGACAATGACACGAGAACTCTGGGGAGAGAGCAGTAGAGACAGGAGAGGAACACCAACACCAGAGCTGTCCAAAGGGAACGCCTGCCAAATCAACCTCCAGGACCTGTGGAAAACATTTTCCAGCTTAGCTGAGTCCATCTACTCCTGTCTTCCACTCACAGACCTTTCAGACCTCCATGCCCAGGAGCCACTCTGGATGAAAGGGCCCCTCTGTGTCCATGGATGTGGCTTTTCCCTTGCCGCCCCTGTGGTCGATGGGGAGCTAAAGGAGAAGGAATGAACGGGGAATAAAGTATCCATAAATACAGCAGATATGGCCGCATGCCTACACTGAGGTCATAACAAATAATATCCCAAGTTATTGTGATTAAAGTCCCATTTAGCTGGGAAAAGTAAGAGGAAAGACTCCTGGTCCCCATCTCTGACTCCTTTTTGTAGTACCTGTCACCCTGGAGTGCCAGGACAAGGGGGAATCGCTTCCCACTGACACAGGGCAGGATAGATGGAATATTGGGAAGAAATTCTTCCCTATGAGGGTGCTGAGGCCCTAGCACGCTGAGGCCCTAGCACAAGGTGCCCAGAGAAGCTGTGGCTGCCCCTGGATCCCTGGCAGTGTCCAAGGTCAGGATGAACAGGGCTTGGAGCAAGCTGGGATAGTGGAAGGTGTCTCTGCCCATGGCAGGGGGTGGAGCAGGATAAGCTTTTAGGGTCCCTTCCACCCCAAACCATTCCGGCATTCCATGGCTCTGGCTGGAGCCAGCAGTGACTCCTGGGTTCCCCTGCCCATGGTCTGGAGTTCCCCACCTGGGTCCCCTCAGGTGCCCAGTTCCAGCCCTTTGTTCCGTGCCCCTCAGGACTTGTCATGGTCCTTGGCCAAAGCTGCCTCCCCAGCTCTTCCCCTCAGCAGATCATGCTGTGCCAGCTTTTTCCAAGCCCCTGCCCTGAGCTGACACCCTTTGCTTTGCACCAGGGGCCACCCCAGCGATTGTCCGCGCTGGAATATCCCCCCCACACTGGGTGTGTGCCTGCTGGAAGCTGGGAAGTGCCTCGGTGTTGGGTTTTTGGAAGGATGATTGGGATTTAGCACCTACTGCAAGCACTTGAGGGACTGCATGCCAGTTTGTACAAAAATGCTAATTTGTGCCCAGGCTTGTCTAAATACCCATCCTGCAGAATTCCAGGTCTTCTCCACTACCATTCTGTTTAACTGGAACCTCTGGGATTCGGAAGGCTCACAAGGAAAGCTGGAGGTTTGCAGGGAGAGCAGAGTTCATCTAATCCCACTTGATCCTCAAAGGCACGGGAGCTGGAGACCCAGAGCAGTGGGAGTTGGGGCTGGCAGGTCTCTGCTGTTGCTCCTGGTGATTCATCCCTGTCTCCTGTAGCTGAGAGCAGGCAGGGGATGGACACGGGGTTGGCAGGCAGCTGCTGTGCCCCTGCAGGATTTAATCAGCAACTCCAATCACCTCCTGCTCTTTGGGGTGTCCCAAGGTGCCCTCACAACCCAGAATAGACACCCAAGCAGGGTGGGAGCTACCATCCCATGGATCCCTGCCTTTCAGGAAGCCTATTTCCAACCTCTGAGAGCAAATGCATTTTTTTGTCCCTCGTTTGCAGACCCTGAACGACGAAGCTCCAGCTCTGGTGAGCATGAGGGGTCTGGAGCCACATTAGCCCAGGAAATGGCAAAGGAAACAGTGGGAAACAAGGATACTGCACAGTCCACACGCAGGAGCAGAGGGAGAAGAGAGGCAGGGAGCAAGGGACTCCTCCCTGAGCAGGCATTTAATGCATCCTCTGGCCATTTTTCCAACTGATACCTGCTGTGCTCAAAGATAAGGTGGCCAAAAGCAAATCTCCATCAGTCAGTGCTGACGTCCTCTGACCTGAGGCAGCTCTGCTGATTCCAGTTCTGCTCTCTCCACCCCACCTGGGTTATTTTCCAGCCATCCACAAGCAGGGCTCACTTGTCCCATTCATAGGGACAGCACACAAGCCAGGCCCAGCAGCTCTGTGCTAGCAGTGGGATGCATTCAGCTCTGTTTCATGCCTGGATTGCCCACTCCTGTGCATCCCCCTGGGAAATGAAGCAGGCCTTGGGATTCAGGCTCCCAGCCCTGCCCAATCCAGGCTCACTTTCACCTCAGTCCCCTGGGTTTCTGTCCTCACAGCAAATCCTGAACTGCACCCCAGATGATACCCCAGTGCTTGTCAGCCAGCCCCAGAAGGCTGCAGAGGCATTCCCACAGCCCAGCCAAAGGAAGAAAGGGAGGCAGAACCGGAAGAAAGGGCCAGCAGGGGCAGTGCAGCAGCCAGAACAAACGGGGAGAACGGAGGGGGCACGGATGAATGCAGGGGGACACCTCAGCTCCTGGTCCAGCAGGGCTGGATCGATGCTGCGGCACAGCCATGGATCCAGGCCCAGTGGTTCCGGAGGTGCTGCTCCAGGGGCACCTCTGGTAGAGCACACGGAGCCTCCGGCACACAGAGGGAGTTTGCCTTTCCTGAACCCCTCATTTTCAGTAGCTCTGGTCTCAGCACCCATTTCTGCTGTGCCTTCTGCACAGGCAGGCAGATGGAACCTTCACTAAGGGAATGCTCTCACCAACGTGAGAGCCCCTTCTCTGCCCCTTCTTCACACAGAGGGAATGCTGAGCCTCCGAGCAAGACTCTAGAGCGACGCAGAGTTCATTGACTGCTTCCAGAAAACCAAACGGGCTTTGAACCTCTTGGTGAGACACAGGGGAGCTTCCATTTGTCCTGGCTTAGGGCAAATTTGGGAGGAAACTTCCAAAGGGGTCCCTCTAGAAAACAGACTTCCATGCAGGGACAGGGCTTTCCCCCGTGTATCCCAGCAGTGAGTGTTCAGAGGGAAATCTGAACAGAAAACACTGCCAAGGGACAAAGGTGTGAATTCCAGGTTCTTCAGAATTCAGGACAAACCTTGTGTCATGCTGCCACACAAACTGCCCTGGGATTTCAGGGGCTGGGGGCTGCACCTTAGCTGGTCCATCAGCACATGCAGTCACAGAAGCCTGGAGATGGCTGTGAGTCACCTGAGCTGAGGCTCCAGCTTGGCTCAGTGGATGAACATAGAGTTCCATGGTTAAATACTTTTCACTGTTGTTAACCAGAATCCAGAGCCTTGGCCAATTCCCACCATGGCTGAGGGCCCAGGGGCCTGAGCTAAAGCCCACAGGGGAAAGGGCCAGAGTGTGGTGCAGTCTGGGAAACATAACCCAGCTCCTAAAATAACATAGCAAGGCTATGTGACATCTCTGAGGTACCAGAGCCCTTTGAGAGACACAAATCAAATCAAAACAACTGCCCCAGTGAGTAACTCTCATAGTTCAAACTCTATACACTCAAGACACTTGGATTTTCCCCTTCCCTTTCTATTATTGAGAAAGCATGCAAGGGAAAAAAAAGCACAGTTTTCTAGTGAGCCAGCTTTTCTAAAGAACTGGATAGGTGAAGTCATACTAGTTAGAATATACCAATTTAATGCAAAATTAGTTTTCTGCAGGTTTTTTATAAGCCAGTATCAATCCTGCTGCAGTGTTGATTATTCTGCTAGTTTAAACAGGAAAAAAATCCCAATCCCCCACAGCTATGCAGGTTCTCTATGCAGCACACCAGAACTGTCTCCTCTGTCCCACCAAACCCAGCCACACACACAGAATACAATGACAGCATCTCTTTAAAAACAGTTCTATCTCAATGAACTGTTTCAGGACTGAAAGGTCACCCTTCTCCAAACCCAGCTATGTTTGTGACTCAGCAAAAATGTCACAGTTGTATTTATTTCAGTTCCCCTTTCAGATTCCCTGCCTCTGCCATGGAATGCTGCAAATACTTGTGGCACTGATGTCTCAGCCTCCTTAGGCTCTTTTTTAATGGCTTGTTAAGTAACAGCCTCTGATCCTCAGCTCTCACAGCTGCCCCCATTTTACAACTCAAATAGTAAATAGTGGAAGATGAATGTGTTTTCAAAATTATTTTTATTCTGTTAAATGACTGAATTTATATGAAAATTAGAGTCAGATGAGTTTTGCACTGACAAGACTATTCAGACAGCTATACCCAAAGTGAGTTTACCAGACTGAATATGGATCAGGGCCTCATTCACTGGTTAACAGTAAAGCAAGTAATTATAATTGTATAACCAACCCAAAAGCCTCACTTAGTCCAGTAAAAGCTGAGGGAAATAGAATAAACCAAGCCTATAAATACCATCAGCTGCTAAACTACTGAAGAGGAATTCCAAGTGAAATAATCTTGCCTCTTCCAGGTTTGCTCTCTTCTGTGCATGGTCAGGGGCTGCCTCTGTTGCTGTGATAAGGTCCCTCCCACATCAGGCCTGGTTTTTGTCCCCATTGCTTGATTTTTCCCAAGTGTTCTTTAACATCTGCCCCCTACCTTGCCCTGACACAGCCATTCAGTGAGAAAAGCTTCGCAGTTGGCCCTAACCCTGCCTTTGGTTCACACTTCAAGGCCCTGTGGAGCCTGGCACCAACGGTGGGGTAGATAATTAGTAATTCTCTCTCAGAGCCCATTTCTAGCACTGGGCAGGGCTTTTCCTCTTAATTGAAACCAGCTCACTCCTTCCAATCAGTCATTTTAAGGCCTCGTATTGTCCTTCACACTCATTGCAGCTCTTCTGACCAGCACCAGCACATTTCCATTATTACAGGCTCACCCTCCTAGGACAGAAAAAAACTGCCACACAGCAAACAAAGGCTCTGGGTCAAATCCACCAGGACCTCCCCAGAGCTCTGGCTGATAAAGCTTTCAGCAGCTCCAGCCAAGACTTAATGTCTGGCGAACAAAATGTTCTGGAAAAACGTCATGCCTTCTATAAACACATTTTTCTGGCAGGTCTGCCCTGGTGTTTTAAAACCTGGAGAGGCTGACTCAGCCTGGCTTCTGCAGGAGCTAAGGGAACACCATGGGTTGAGGAGAAGGTGGAGGGAATGGAGTGTGGGGAGGAAAGAGAGGGGGGGCAGAGCTGAGCCCTGCGAGGACCCTGCTGCTGCACGGAGACACTGTTCCTGCCCAGCTGCTCACACAAAGTTTATGTACACATTGCCCATGTCCTTCAGCCCATTTCTGGTGCCCAGGCAATTTTCCAACATGTCTTTTGTGGGCAGGGAGCTGTCAGTGCTGGTGACAAATTGCAGCAGCGCGTTCCTGCCCGACAGGTGGCATTTTTGCTCCTCCTTCGCAACGCTGTCCAGCAGGACTCCTCGGATGTCCTTGGGCTTCCCCGGCACACCGAACACGATGAACAAGCCCAAGCAGTCCCGTCCCACCAGGCGGCAGAACTCAGCCAGCTTCTCAAACCTGCTCATGTTCTGGAAGCACTCGTCGGCCAGCGCAGCCTCCCGGCAGCAATCCTCGGCAGGACCCTCGCCATGGAAGAGCTCGGCCGGCTGCAAAGCCTGCACGGCGATCTGGAGCTTGATCTGCTTGTCAGACCCACACAGAGTCCAGATCCAGTCCACTCCAAACAGGGAGGACTGCTGCTTGGTCATTTTGCTGGTCATGATCTGCTCCTCCATGCCCTTTCCCATGCAGAAGCTGATGAAGTTGACCAGGAAGATCTCACTCAGCGTGTTTGTGGCTGGCTGGAATTTGCTTTGAGGATCCACAAAACCGAGATAGTCTTCCAGCTTTCGAGATGCATGGAGTACACCCTGGCTGAAGACTTCACAGATGACCAGAGTTTCAGCCTTGTTCTCCTGGTTGTCCTCCTGGGAGACCCTCTGGCCCATTTTCTCTGCCAGAGGAGGTAGTTTCCACATGCAGATTGCCTCAGGGACAAACCTTTATTTTCCAGCAAAGGCTCTGCAGGTGCTGGGCTCAGCCAGACCTACTCAGCTGCACATGGATACCTGCAGCCTTCCCGGTGAAGGTGATGGTAGAGCTGAGCTCTGTGTGCCGGTGGGGTTCAGCCAGGCTTTCTCCTGGGTGTGTTTCTCCACAGCTGACTGGGCAGGGACCAGCCCAACAGGCCCTGCAGCTTTCACACTTACTGAATACATCTGGTGCTTGTTTTCCTTATTGTTAATTCCGGCACCATTTCTTTGGCTGATGTTATCTCATTCCGGTCTGATCTTATTTCCTTGGATCGGATCTCCTTTCTAGGACTATTGCACTGAAACCATTTTTTTGGCACAGAGTGTTGCTTGGAGATCAAACCATCTTTTCTTTTAACCTCCCAGAGAAAGGAGGTTAACACTTGGGACCAGAGAGAGTCTCTTCCACAGCAAGAAGGGACAGAGCACCCTGGAAGGGCTCCCTGTGGAGCACACGTTGAGCAGTGATGATGGCACTTCTCACCACACCAAACAACCCAAGATGGTTCAAATCTGGATCCCAGAAATAACTAAAAAGTCTTGATATAGTTGATTTCTTAGCTGTTAGTTGAGCCCTGCTACAGGCACTAGTGACAAACAAATTAACAAGTCAACAAAAAAATGTTTGATTTTGCCCCTTTTCCCTCCTTGGTTTTGAATAGAACAGAACAAGCTTCTTTGGAAAGTTAATTAGAAAATAAAAAGGAAAAAAAAAAAAATAGGACATGAGAAAGGGAACCAGCTTCCACAAAAACACTTGGCATTTTCCACAGACTTTATTGGATTTCACATGGCAATACACAGCAGTTACGTTTGCCCTCTCCAAACCAATTAAGCACCTCGACAGTATCGACAGTGTGCACACACGCACATAAAAACCTCCTGACTTCATCACCTCTCTCGTGTCCCCACCCCAGAACAGAACCAGGGTTCAGATCACAGCTCTGAGGGCATGACCTGGCACCAGGAAAGGGTTGTTTGGAGCAGAATGCTGCTTACACTGCACTTAAATGATCACTGCCCTCACTGGTAACACTGGTAACTGGAGAGTATTTTTGGCTATTTCAGCACACAGAATATTGTGTCACTAGCTCCCTTTTCCCCCCCTGTGAATTCCCAATCCTGCCCAGTAGCCAGTAACTAGTGAGAGCCATCCAGAGGAACACTTGTTGGAAGCCTGCACCACATTTCCTAGTGCTTCCACAGGTTTTTACATTCAACTTCCATGTAAATAATAACAATATTGCAGAGTATTCACAGAAAGGGAGACCTGAATCCACATCCCAAGCATCAGCACCCTAAACCTGCCCACATTAAATTTTGCATCTTGGGACATCATTAATCACCTACACTGCACATCCTTCAGAGGTCCAGGTTATCAGCTTACATCATTCTAATGCTGGAATATGCCTCTGATTTGAGGGGAGTTCCCTGGGAAGAACCTTTATTCCTTTCCTAGCTTTGTTAACAGTGTTTTATAAACACCCCCAAAGTCAGCACGAACCCCAAATCCCCTGCATGACACCAGGAATGGTCTCATTTCCAGCAAGGAGAGTGACAAAATGAGTGACAAATGCTTGGCAAAGCAACACCACCGCAAGGAACAGTTCCAGCTGGACTTTTGTTTTCCTTTACAGAGCAAAGCAGCTTCATGCCATTGTGCTAAGAGACATGCAATGTTCAACACCATACAAATGACCACTGGAATAAAAAGTTACTTTTGTTTGTTTGTTTGTTTGCTTTTGGCTAGGACACCTCACAGTACTGGGAGTCTGACACAAGATTCCCACTGGCTAGTTAAAAATTTTAAAACCTGATGATCCTCAAAAGCAGAGGAGCTGTGCTTTAAGAAGGTAAAATGATAAGCAACACATTTGATATCTCAGTTTTGGAGGAAAAGTCCCACCTTAGGCTTAATAATATGAAATAATATATTTCCTATACATTTCTCTATATAACTTTTATTTTTTTTTTGCAACTACACCATCTTCACGTTAGTCACAGCACAGAAATATCCCTTCCACATGGGGAGGGAGGGAGTACTCTCAACTTTAAGGAAATTTTTTAAGTCATGGAAGTGTTAATAACTTTATTGAATGCACTAATTACTGCTGCTGGGGACAAGAAAGAAGACATTTTAAAATGTGCAGTTTCTGGATGAGCCACTGCCAGAAGAAACATGCTTTAGAATTGTTTCATCTCAAAATGGAAGATCATTAAACTGTGCACTCAGTAAAAAGCAACGAAAGCAAACAGTTCCAAAGGTCAGCCTGCCTTTCCCAGTAACCAGCTGGTTTGCAAACTGGCATAATTTTTTTACAACCTTCTCTCTTCCCCTTGCACACCTTCAACTTTCCATCACTCTAGCTCACAAAATTTAAATTTTTGCTTTTATATGTACCTCATATACTTTTTTCTTTTTTTTGTTTAATACAAAACAGTATAAAAATAGGAGCAACAGTCAAGAGCTACAGGGGACCTTACACAGGACACGGATCTCTAGAATCCTACATTGGATAGGGCTGAACTGGTGCTTGTGCCAAAGAAAAGCACTTAGAAAAGAGCAGTAACTTCTATTTTTCAGCTGAGAGCGCAGAGAGAGCTGATGTGCTGTATCTACAGATGCAACACTTTCACCTAACATCTTCTGTTCTTTTCAAACAGTATAAAGGATTATCTGAGGCCACAAATAAGCAAAAGGAGCACTATCATACCACATCGATGTCAAGGCAACACTCTGAAACATACCACCAGTTTTTACATTAAATAGAGTTAAAACAATTACCATTCACCAGTGTCTGGGTGTTTTTTATGGCAACTTAAGTAGGCACCTTGTTTTTTCTCCTTTTCTCTTTAAAATTCTCCACCCCTCAGTGTTACTTCCAGCAAACAGAAGCAAGAGCAATGTAAAGTACATGATCTGCTGCCTGTCACGTGGAACAGGGATGTCCTTGCATGCAGGAGAACTGCCTTTGTCAGTGCCTGGTGGTGACTGTCACACGTTGGAGTCCTCATCTGTTATACTGGTGCTAGGAGAGCAAGTGGCAAAGTCTTTGAACATTTCATCTTCCTTCAGCATGTGCTGGAAAGGAAAGGAGGGAAGAGTCAAGGTTTCTCACAACTGGAGTCACCTGTCCTGTGCTGGGCAGCAAACACTGCCTGCCAGCCACTGCTTTGTTCTGCTGAGGGAGGTCTTCACCCACCCTGCTGCAAAACCAGCTCACCACTGTCTGCTGGCCCCAGTGGCTCGAGGTTTCCACCCAGAAAATGCAGCCTGACTCCCAGCTGGAAACCCACTAACCATGGGCAATGTGGGCTGTGTCTCCTGCCCTCCACGGTGTGTGTGGAGCCAGAACAGGCCACCAAGCCTCCCCACCAGGATGGGCCAGGTACATTCCTGAAACACTTGGTTTTCTTGTGCCCTCTGTCCCTGCAGAAGACCCAAAGGACCTCACTGACCCTGTTTAACATGAGCCAAGGGGCTCACACCCATCCCACAGAAACAGAGACCTTACAGCACAGACCCCATTCACAGACTTACTGTCAAGTTGTTGATGCCTTCAGAAAACGCTCCTATTTGCCTCACCGTCCCTTCTGAATCTTCCATCTATAAAAAACAGAGAATGAACCATGAATTAATAGCAACTTATTTGTATCACAGAGTGGAATCACAGAATAGGTGGGGTCGGAAGAGACCTGGGTCCAAAACATCTGGGTCCAATCCCCTGCCATGGGCAGGGACACCTTCCACAATCTCAGGTTGCTCCAAGCCCCATCCAGCCTGGCCTTGGACACTTCCAGTGATGGGGCAGCCAGAGCTTCTCTGGGCAACCTGTGCCATGGCCTCAGCACCCTCACAGGAAAGAATATTTTTCTAATATCCTAAACCTCCTAAGATCTAAACCCACTCTCTGTCGGTGTGAAGCCATTCCCCCTTGTCCTGCTACGACAGAGTGACAATTAAGCACAGCACACAATTTACTGATTACACCTGAGATGTTCAGAGCAAGGAAGAAGCATGGCCTGTCAGGAAAGGAGAATTACTCCAGAGCAGGCCCTAAAAAGGTGCTGCATTCACAGCTTCAACCTCCTTGGGAGCACAGCCTTTTGTCACTAATGCTGTGTGACAGCAAGAAGTCAGGGCCTTCATGGGCCAAAGCAAAACAAAGACTTCCCTGGGGAATGAAAGATTTTCCCACCAAACCTGACAGCTCAAAGACTCAGAATTGTTAGAACTAGCTTACCTGCTCCAGCCTGTCCAAATCATCATCATCGTATACTCGGATATCCAGGCCAGGCTTAAAGCCCTTCTTCGATCCACTCCCAGATGCTCGCCCCAGGTCCATAGGACACACATACTCCTCCACATCATCTTGCTTCTTCTTCCTCAGGCTCCCAAAATTGCTGAAGGTAAGTTTCTTTGGCTTGAAAGTGAAGAGGAATTTGCCAAGGAGTTAGGGAATCGCCAAAGAATTAACAGGCCTACTCATGCCCTCTTGTGTTTCCATGACAAAGGGTCAAAACCCCAGTGCTCTCCTACACAAAACTTCTGAGTTTCAGGACAGTGGCATCTGAAAGGACAATGTGTCCCCTCATTCTACCACTGTTAAGACACCACCATTTAACAGATCCCAAATGTGGTCAAAATTCCACATTAAACCACGAGCCTGTAAACAGTAAGGGACAGTCCCCTCCCAGTCATCCCTCAGTACAGACAGAAGGGCGACATCTCCTGTTTGTGCATGTCAGAGAAGCAGAGAAGTGGCCTGTTCTTGGTAGACATGAGTGTCAACCCCAGGTCTGCCAGGTCCTGCTCTCATGCTTCTTTTTTTTAGGTACCAACCCCTTTTCTCAGATCTTACTGACATGCCTTCCCAGCATGGATAAAAACAGAGACCCAAATGCCTCTCTGGAACCTCCTACCCCTCCCAGAACAAGTGGCCTACCTTGACTTTGGCAGTTGCTGTCAGGAGGACATAGTCAGGGGACTCCATGGCTTCAC